GTGTAATGCTAATAATTGCATAAAGACAGCATGATTGTGATCTTAATATATCAGCTCACATTTGAAAGTGAAATATCTCAGCTTTGGAAAAACCGTATGTCATCCATAGTCCTATCCACCCAATTGTGTGGAGGAAATAAATCAGTGCCATCATGTCTTACAGGGTGATGCACAGATTTCTAAAACTGTAGTCTCAAGGATGTAAGCAAATAGATTATTCCTTATGACTTGTTTCTATCAGGTCAAATCTAATGAAAGAGTCCAATGATATAAATATTAACCATGCTTACTTAGAATATGTGATACTGTGATCAGAAACAGCTCTAATGTCCTGAGTGATGCTCTCTATACAAATATTAATAAAACAACATACGATAGATTCAAAAGAAAATGGCAGTCACATCACTCTGGTAATGTAAGATCAGGCCAGAAGATCAAGCGTGTGAAATGCTCTGGATACAAAGAGAAAACACAGTATAGAGTTGCTAGATTATAAGCATAATTAATTACTTATAAGTCATTTTGCAATACCGGAAACATTAGGTAAGAGCAATATAGTATATCCATATATGGGTATAGATGATGCTCTTTTATTTTATATTCAGTTTTGGTCAAGCATGTAGAACAATAAAACTAACCAGCTCTTTAATCAGACCCAAATGTATATTTCAGGTGGTTAGCATCTTCCACAGTATTCGTTTTCCATTCTTATATTCTTAAGATGTACCCATCGTGTTGAGTTACAAAGATGAGGTGAAGAAAAGATAGGGGCATGGCAACAGACTTATATAAATTTCTATCATATCCTGGAATACAGAGATAAATCCAACATTAATTCAATCTAGATCAGATCAATTGAAATCTGCGCAATTTACCTCGGTGGTGACTAATAATCCTCATTCAATTCAGTTGGTTTATCCTATTTGGAACTAACCTTGGATTTAGGGTGTCATGATCAGAATTACCATTTTTTTAAAGATAGTATCGATTGCAAAAAGTAGATGAAACTGGGTGAAACAAGATCAAGAATTTTAGAGGGGAGGTTGCTGATGGACACTAATAATGAAGAGTCCAGCTCATGCAATATCTTTTTACAGCACACACATGAAAGACCACCATAGTCACATCCAAAGCTGCAAGAATGTTTCAACATTAGTTTAATATTTCCTACCTACTATGCAGTAGTTCATCCAGCTCTATGCCCAAATCATGATGTGTTTGAAGAATCATACTCAAATGTAGGTCTCACCATCAATTTGCTTTTTATTTATTCTTTTCCTCCTCCCCCCTCCTCCTTCCTCTCCTCTCTTTTGACACACACAAGCACAACACAGATGTAACACTTGTGCTGCATGAAAGGCTAGCAGTCATTAAAAAGTCAGGAACCAAAAAAACCAGTCGGCACTCACTGTGCTTCCTTGTAATTAAACTAGACCCAGCAGTGCACATAGGTTTGAATGAACTGTAGAGAGGATGTCGGAAGCTAAAATACAGCATGGTTAATAAAATACAGCTAAATTGCATCATGCATATATGATCAAAGATTGGGGTTTTGTTGCTTGAAGCACTCAAAAATCTAATGCATTTAGAAATGAGGTTTAAGATACAAATGGTGTGGGCCTCGATATTCATTGCCTATATATAAAATAATAGTGAAGAGCCTACTGCTGTTTGTTAATGGTGGTATCAGCCACTCCATGTTGACTTGTAAGATTCTGGAAGAGCATCAAATTGATGTTTGGACCTAAAACTATGTATTGTCTAATAATTTGTTTTAGTCCAATGCAACTTTGGTTGTCCAATTACCGATCTATAGAAACGGTCTGTAGAGAAAAGCTTGCCTTCCATTTCACTGACATTTATTATTTCTTTTATTGTATAGTTCATGTCTCTTTATGACACTCTCACAGTAAGACAGTTTCACCAGTTTAACCCTGCTTTGAGGAGAAATTGCCCACTGTGTCCTGCAGGGGTAGAATTCTGAGCTCAGAGAAATCAATAGGAGTTCATCTGTTGACATTCAGTGGCTTTTACTCTCAGCATGAGTGTCCACAGATCACTAAGTACTAATAGGATAGGTTGGCATGAGACACTCCAAAGATATAAAAGTGGGGTCTAGAGTGGTCCTGATGATAACAAGTATGCAGTTAGGGATAATTTGTTCTGAATTATCCAGAACAAAGCTGTGCTTGGATAACAGAGGAAAACCTTTTGGCCTTGACCTAAAGTTTGTGTGTGTGTGTGTGTGGGGCAACCAACCTAGGCTATTAGATTTGATAATAGGTTATAAAACATATAGGTTCCAATATCTTCACAAACATAAGCTCCCTGATTGGTGTCTCATAAATCTCTTCTTTAGCCTTAGTTTCCTATTTTGAAAATGAGAACACTGTTTGTCTATGTGTGGTGCAGGTACAAGGGTATGCAACATAAAGAAGGTAAAAACATTTTACCAGGAAAGATGTGACATAACTAATAATGCTGATGAGGATGGAAAGAGCAGAAGAACATGTGACTCATATATGATATGAAGTTTCAAAGGGCCATTTAAATAAGTACTTTGCCAAAGTGTCCTATAGCAACGAGCGAAGGTCTCCACAGCAAATCTCTTGCACAAGTCCTGGGGCTTTAAGAGGTTTCTTTTGCTGTACCCTTGTACAGCAATATAGGGCCCTTCCATACAGCCATATAACCCAGAATATCAAGGCAGATAATCCACAATATCTGCTTTGAACTGGGTTATCTGAGTCCATACTGCCATATATATTCCAATTAAAAGCAAATATGGTCTGCAAGGGGGGCATAGTCTACTTTATGAGATTCCCTAACTTCCTGAAGTGGGCTTTTTTGGGGGGGGGGGTAAAAGAAAGCTTTAGGGCCAGGAACAGCCTTAAGACTGTGAAAGATGCTCCTGGGCAAATGAGGAAATAATCCTTATGCCCTGTGGACGTCTATAGAACAAGGTTTGAAAACAAAGTTTATAGCTAGGAAAGCAACAGAAGGGTCATATCCTTGGAATGGAGGCTAGGCAAAAAAAAAAAAATCAAACTTGAGAGTAAAAATCTGGAGAAAATGGTTTTGATGTGACCATATAGATTTTCCTAGTAAATCAAAATCTCTTTGGGGTTATCATGGGTTAAAAAAAAATCACTGTATTATCCCAGGGCAAAGTGAATTCGATGTATTTGATCAATGAGAGCTCAGGGTTTAGCTTCATTCCCACACAAGCAATGGCTCCAAACTACCGGAAAGGAGATTCCACCTGAACATTAGGAAGAACTTCCTGACTGTGAGAGTTGTTCAGCCGTGGAACTCTCTGCACTGGAGTGTGGTGGAGGCACCTTCTTTGGAGGCTTTTAAGCAGAGGCTGGATGGCCATCTGTTGGGTGTGTGTGTGTGCTTTGAATGTGATTTTCCTACTTCTTGGCAGGAGGTTGGACTGGATAGCCAATGAGATCTCTTCCAACTCTAGGATTTTTTTTTCCGTGTCAGGAGCAACTTGAGGAACTGCAAGTCGCTTCTGTATAAGAGAGTCCCCCTTCGGGGGGAGAAGGGCAGGGTATAAATATAGGAAATAAATAAATAAATAAATAAATTGGCCATCTGCAAGGACATTGCCCAGGGGACACCTGGAGGTTCGGTGTTTGACCATCATTGTGGGAGGCTTCTCTCATGTCCCCACATGGGGAGCTGAAGCTGACAGAGGGAGCTCAATCTGCTCGAACCGCTGACTTTTCGGTCAGCAGTCCTGCTGGCACAAGTGTTTAACCCCATTGTGCCACCAGAGGCTCGCTGAGGACCTCATTACACTAGAGAATGAATCCACTTTAAATCAGGTTTCTGCCTCCTGCAGAATTCTGGGGTTTGTAGTGTAGGGAGGAGCCTTTAACAGCCTCACTAAACTACAAACCCCAGAATTCTGCAGGAGGCAGAAACCTGATTTAAAGTGGATTAATTATCTAGTGTGATGGAATAGTTAGATATAATTCTATTCCCCCTTCCAGACAGCTGAATAAAATCTGACATTTTCTGCTTTGAACTGGAATATATGGCAGTTTGGACTCAGACAATCCAGTTCAAAGCAGTTTTTGTGGGAATTTTCTGCCTTGATATTCTGGGTTATAGAGCTGTGTGGAAGGACCCTAAGCAACAAAACAGCAACAAAACAAGTGATTTATGTAAGTGTGGACAGAGAGGTGGGAAAGTCCTACAGTTTCCCAGTGGGTTTGTAACCAGGGACAGAGCGTGAGGCTGCCAAGGAGTCACTCAGGGCCTGGGGAGACCTGGGGCCCTTCCACACAGCCCTATATCCCAAAATATCACAGCAGAAAATCCCATATTGTATTGTCTAAGGCTTTCATGGCCGGAATCACTGGGTTGTTGTAGGTTTTTTTGGGCTTATATGGCCATGTTCTAGAGGCATTCTCTGACATTTTGCCTGCATCTATGGCAAGGATCCTCAGAATTTGTGAGGTCCTCCCAACCTCTGAGGATGCTTGCTATAGATGCAGGTGAAAGGTCAGGAGAGAATGCCTCTAAAACATGGCCATATAGCCCGAAAAAACCTACGACAACCCAAATTCCAAATTATCTGCTTTGAACTGGGTTATCTGAGTCCACACTGCCATATATTCCAGTTCAAAGCAGAAAATGTGGGATTTTATTCAGCTGTCCCAAAGGGGCCATAGAATCATATCTAACTACCTCATCACACAATGAATGTGGGATTTTCTGCCTTGATATCCTGGGATATAAGGCCATGTAGAAGGGCCCCCAGCATTTAGGAGTGAAATTTGGCTCCCTTTTGAATGAAAGCCACCGAAAGTGGAGCAAGTCCATCCCAGAGAGGCTCCCAATTCCAAGGAAACGATGCTCTTCCCCTTCGCCAATGAGGAAGGCCAGGGACCATGGGTGGGTTGGTGGGGTTACCTCCTTGGATGAGCCTTTAGGCGCCTTTCCCCTGTCATCCAAGCCCACTCCCCTCCTCAGCCCCTTCTTACCTTGGTTGCTGGAGACGTGGCTGCCTGCCCCGGGGCGCCCAGCCAGGAGAGGGAAGAGCAGGCTCCACGGCCACAGGAGGGAGGCGCCCCCCATGGCCAAGGGGGCTTCAGGACCCTTCCCTCGGCTTCCTCCGCCTCCTCCTCCGCCTCCGCCTCCTCCTCTTCCAGGCTCGAGGCCCCCGCGAGGGCTCCAAGGCGGGGGTCGTCGTGCCCGGAGATGAGCCTCTTTCCCAGCCCAGAGGCCACCGTCCAGTCCGAAGTGCCCCGTCCCGAGGGGCGAGAGACACCCAGCCTCCTCTCAACCCTTGACTGGCAAAGCCTTCCCCAAGCGGAGCAGCCTTCTCCGGCAACCCGGCTTGAGGGGCGGCATCCCCTCCTTTCTACCCGCCGCCTCTTCGAGAGATTGGGAGGGAGGAGAGGTCCTTGCCTCTCTTCCCTTCCTTCCTTCCCTTTCTCTCTCCAAATACAAGAAATGGCAAAGAGAAGCCCGCCTCTCTGTCGGGAAGGTGCTGAAATGCTGGACAGCTCCTCTTCTCTCCCTCTCGCTCCGTCCGCGCGGCCGTCAAGGAAACTTGGTCCAGGCGCCTAAAGGGACGGCGCGCCCCAATCCTTCTCAGCGGGGCCAGGCTTCTCCTCCGCGGCCCTCCTCTTCCTCCTCCTTCCTCTTCTCCTCCTCCATCGGCTTCGAGGGCTGGACGGCGGAGTCCTCCTCCTCCTCTTCCTCCTCCTCCGCCTCCTCAACTGCTTCTCCCTCCCCTCTTCTTATTCCAAAGCACCAAAGGAGCAAGGTCCCAGCGTCCAAAGAGAGCGGGACGGGGAGGTCCCCGAGGGCAATGTAGATGGAGAATCAGAGCCGCTCTCCTTCTCCCCTTCCTCGCCAAGGAATGAAAAAGGGAGGGAAAGGAAGGCAATGGCAGGAGTCAGGGCACCTTCCGTGGGAGGAGAGCAAGGCCACGGAGGCTCCGGTCGCCTCCTTGGTGGCTCCCCGAGAAAGAGGCGGAGGAAAGCCAAGGAGAAGAAGGAGCCCTTGCTCTCTCTCTCGCTCGCTCGCTCGCCTCGGCTGGGAAGCGGCTGCCGGCAGCCCGCAGGTCAAATGCAGCCTGTTCAGCACTAGAGGGGGTTAGTTGACAAGACAAAACGGGGAGAGGAAGGGAAAAAAAACACACACACACAGAGAGAGACCGCCTTCTTGTATTCCTCCCCCGCTTTTTTTGGAGGGCGGTTCTGGCTAAACTTTTACAGTGCAGGGTTGCTGTGAGTTTTCTGGACTTTATGGCCACGTTTCGCCTGCATCTATTGCTTTCATCGCACTAGAGAATGAATCCACTCTAAATCCGGTTTCTGCCTCCTGCAGAATTCTGGGGTTTGTAGTTCAGTGAGGCTGTTAAAGGCTCCTCCCCAAACTACAAACCCCAGAATTCTGCAGGAGGCAGCAACCCGATTTAAAGTGGATTCATTCTCTAGTGCAGGGGTCCACAAACTTTTTAAACAGAGGGTCAGGTCACAGTCCCGCAAACTGTTGGAGGGCCGGATTATAATTTGAAAAAAAAACATGAATGAATTCCTATGCACACTGCACATCTCTTATTTGTAGTGCAAAAACCACTTTAAGATGAAGAGGAAGCATTAGTGAGCACTCTCTGTGTTCGTCCACTTAACCAATTACAGATCCACCTCACCATAGTTTTGCCTAGCCCACATTGGACTAGTTTCCTTGCCAGAAGGTCATGGGGGACCTTGTCGAAGGCCTTACTGAAATCCAGCTACACTACATCCACGGCATTCCCCGCATCTACCCAGCTTGTAGCTCTATCGAAGAAAGAGATCAGATTAGTCTGGCATGACTTGTTTTTGATAAATCCATGTTAACTATTAGCGATGACTGCATTTGTTTCTAAGTGTTTGCAGACCGCTTCCTTAACAATCTTTTCCAGAATCTTGCCCGGTATCGACGTGAGGCTGACCGGACGGTAGTTGTTTGGGTCATCCTTTTTTCCCTTCTTGAAGATTGGGACTACATTGGCCCTCCTCCAATCTGCTGGAACTTCTCCCGTTCTCCAAGAACTCTCAAAGATGGTTGCCAATGGTTCCGAAATGACTTCCGCTAGTTCCTTCAATACTCTGGGGTGTAGTTGATCTGGCCCTGGGGACTTGAACTCATTAAGAGCGGCCAGGTATTCCTGGACGACTTCTTTCCCAATTTGGGGTTGGATGTCCTCCAATCCCTCATCCACTCCATCTTGCTGAGGTTGAAGACTCTCTTTTTGTGAGAAGACCGAGGCAAAGAAGGCATTAAGTAGTTCTGCCTTTTCCCTATCCCCTGTCAGCATTGCCCCATCTTCTCCTCGAAGAGGTCATATCGCCTCCTTGTTTTTCCTTTTTCTACTGACATAAGAATAGAAGCCCTTTTTATTGTTTTTAATGTCCCTGGCAAGTCTGAGCTCGTTTTGTGCTTTAGCCTTGCGGACCTTTTCCCTACAGGTGTTGGCTATTTGTTTGAATTCTTCTTTGGTGATTTCTCCCTTTTTCCACTTCTTGTGCATGTCTCTTTTGTGTCTTAGCACAGTTAGAAGTTCTTTGGACATCCATTCTGGCTTCTTTGCACTTGTCCTATTTTTTCTCTTTGTTGGCACGGTTTGCAATTGCGCCTTGAGTATTTCACTCTTGAGAAATTCCCATCCATCCGTAACTCCCTTGTCTTTTAGTATCTGTGTCCACGGAATGCTGCTCAGCGTTTCCTTCATTTTTTGGAAATCAGCTCTCCTAAAGTCCAAAATGCGGGTTTGACTTGTCTTAGTTTCGGCCTTCCTTTGTACCTCAAATTGCAGGAGCACATGGTCACTTGCCCCTAAGGATCCTACCACTTCGGCCGCATCGATCAGGTCCTCCGCATTTGTTAGGATGAGATCAAGAGTAGCCAATCCCCTTGTTGCCTCTTCTACCTTCTGGACCATGAAATTGTCTGCAAGGCAAGCGAGGAATTTGTTGGACCTTGTACTCTTGGCCGAGTTTGTTTTCCAGCAAATATCGGGATAGTTGAAATCGCCCATGACTACTACATCTCTTCTCTGTGCCTGTTTGGTCAACTGTTGGCAGAAGACTTCATCAAGTTCTTCCTCCTGGCATGGGGGTCTGTAGTAGACGCCTACAACAACATCTTTTTGAGTCCCAGTTCCCTTGATTCTTATCCAGATGATTTCAAGCTGGTTTCCCAGATTGCTGTCTTGAATCTCTTCTGCAGCATAAGAGTTTTGGACATATAAGGCTCCTCCTCCTCCTCCTCCTCCTCCTCCTCCTCCTCCTCCTCCTCCTCCTCAGCTTTTCTCCAAGGCAAGGTGCCTTTGAAGGGGTTTTGAGATCTCACTGGACACCATCCAATTCTACCAGGTTCCCATAGTATTTTTGGGGCAGTCCTCCTTCCTCTGCCTCTCAAGGCCCAAAAGGACTATCCCAATCTTTAGCTTCATGATGTCTGATGAAAAGAATGGAGCACCACAGGCTTTTTAGGAGCCTCCCTCAGAATAAAGAGTGCAATTATATTTCCAAGGCTCCCCATGAATACTTGAAACCATGGATAATAATGAATCCAATGCAAAATACTCCACTATGCATGGTACTCCACTCCATGACAAATGCAAGATACTCCACTTAGGCAGAAAAATGAAATGCAAAGATACAGAATGGGGAACAATGCCTTGCTTGACAGCAGTATGTGTGAAAAAGTCCTTGGAGTCCTTGTGGACAATAAGTTAAACATGAGCCAACAATGTCATGCAGCAACTTAAAAAGCCAATTGGGTTTTGGCCTGCATAAATAGGAGTATAGTGTCTAGATCTAGGAAAATCATGCTACTCTTCTATTCTGCTTTGGTCAGACCACACCTGGAATCACACTGTGTGCAATTCTGGGCACCACAATTTAAGGGAGATTTTGACAAGCTGGAATGTGTCGAAAGGAAGGTGACTGAAATGATCAAAGGTCTGGAGAACAACCCTATGAGGAGTGACTTAAATAGCTGGGCATATTTAGCCTGCAGAAGACAAGGCTGAGAGGAGACATGATGGCCATGTGAGGGGAAGTCATAGGGAGGAGGGAGCAGGCTTGTTTTCTGCTGCCCTGGAGACTAGGATGCAAAACAATGGCTTCAAACTATAGGAAAAGAGTTTCCACCTGAACATTAGGAAGAATTTCCTAGCTGTGAGAGCTGATCAGCAGTGCAACTCTCTGCCCCAGAGTGTAGTGGGAGCTCCTTCTTTGGAGCCTTTTAAACAGAGGCTGGATGGCCATGTCTTGGGGGTACTTTGAATGCAAATTTCCTGCTTCTTGGTGAAGGGTTGGACTGGATAGCCCATGAGGTCTCTTCCAACTTGATGATTCTCTAATTCTATATTTTGACTATGCTTGGGTTGGAAGCATACCATAGAATCACACCCATGAGCCTAGGGAGGCCCACAAACACTGCCGAGGGGGGGGGGCATTTTTTGTAGTGTAGCTAAGTGAAACTGCAGATAATGAATCCATGGATAAGGGGTCACACTGCACTTCTGATCTTCCTTTGTGTTCTAGGCTGCATAGCTGGCTCACCTCTCATAGCAGTGTTTTGGAGCAGATTATTCAATGTGTGGAATTTTCTTTTCATCAGCACAATATAGCCCATGTTTCATGAAAGGTAAACAAATTAGGATTCATTACTTTGCACCCCATGAACAATAATCTTACGTAACTTGTTAGCACTTAATGAGCTCGCTAGAATCATGCAACCCAGGCTATATGATACGGAGGACTGGCAATTATTCCCCTCCTCCCTCAGCTTACAGAGACAGGTATTATATTTCTGCTCACTGACTACAATTATTTCTTTCATTCTTCAAAACTCTCCATTGTCTATACACCAATGGACCACCACTTTAAGTAGCAATTCTATACAATAATGCATGACACACAATAATTTATGTCATTTTTTTCCTTGAAAAAAAGGATTAAGTTGCTCCTCTGGAGATATTGGAGGATGGTAGGATTTCTGTGTTCTCTCTCACAACCACCATCTCAGACTACACAGAGAAGCCACTGAAATCCACAAACATGTGGATAATTTCAACAGAAAGGAGGAAATAATGAAAATGAACAAAATCTGACTACCAGTATTTAAAAATTTGCAGTTTTCTAGCTGCATGAGCATGGAGTGCAGTCATATCTTTTCCCAAAATAAATATTCACACAAACACAAACAAAATGGCAGGTCTTTGGAGGAACAGGCAACAGGGAAACATAGGAAGGAACAGAAGAAAGAATCTCAGCACCTATTGAGACCTTTGAATTGAAATATCTTGGCTACAGCATGGGCCTTGGGTGTGGGGACTTATATATACCCAACAGTAAAAGTCTATTTTGAGTCCCATCTAGGGAAAAATGTGAGATATAAATCAAATCAATTAGTTATTTTAATGTTAGAAATTGATTGATAAGGATGAAGGTGAGAACAAGGCAGACCAAACACTGTCTTTCAAAATTCTTGTGCCTATAAACATGCCCTCAAATGAATATTTTTTCCTGTGTCAGGAGCAACTTGAGAAACTGCAAGTCACTTCTGGTGTGAGAGAATTGGCCGTCTGCAAGGATTCTGCCCAGGGGATGGCTGGATGTTTTGCTATCCTGTGAGAGACTTCTCTCATGCCTCCATGTGGGAAGCTGGAGCTGACAGATGTGAGTTCACCCCGCTCCTTGAATTCATATCACCAGTTTTTCAGTCATCAGTTCTGCCGATACAAAGGTTTAACCCATTGCACCACCAGGGATTCCTACTCACCGGGGGCTTCTACCAATTACATTGTCTTATATCCCTACGGGATCCTAGCCACAGGGAGTCTCAGTCATAGGGAGACTCCCCTGTCTGACAGTCTCTAAGAGGAACAGTCTAAAAACCAAGAGATGAGGCAATTCCCACCTAAAATTGATTTTAAAGGATTAAAAACAGCAATAATACAAACTATAGCCCAAATACATTTTGTATTTCAAATACCATACCATGGCTTACTGAAAAGCTTCCATTTCCAAGCAGAGTCAGGGCTCAACTGTAGAAGACATTGGGAACAATAATGCAACGGAGACATGAAATGAGCTAACAATATAACATAGATATTGGTGAATACAT